TTTTAATGACAACCGAGGTCGTCACGCACCGAACGGACTTGCACGTGACTCGATTTCGTATCAGTCACGAGTCGATTCTGCGAAATTCCCCAGCAAACCGCTCGTTAGCTCGAGAAACGCTCGAGTTGCGTTTAATAGAATTTAATTATTGGATTTTTGCCCAAATTGGACACCGGAAAATTAGGAAATCGCGACGGAACGCTAGGACGACGTTGTACGTGACACGTGTGAAATTTTGATGCGCTCAAATCCTTCGGAAAAACTCGATTTGGGCAAGAAATGGAGAAAGTGACTAAAATACCCCCCTAAAGGTTATTAAAGGACAAGTTTTAAGGTAAAAGGCATTTTAGTCATTCACCCTTTGGTCATTATAAATAAGTGGAGTCCAACTTGTCTTCCTTCTCCCTTCTTTTCTTCATTCCACGATCAACCCCTCCCCCTTTTATTTTTTTTTTCTTCTTGGCCGTTTCTCTCCATCGCCGGCGCCGCCGCTTGCCACACCGCCGGACCGCCACCTTGCCGTCGCCGTGCCGCCCTCCAACCTCACTGTCTCTCTCTCTTTCCCCTCTTTTTTCTCTCTCTCCCCGTGACCCATTTCCGGCCGTGCAAGACCACACCGCCGCCGTGCAAGCCGGAAGCCACCGTGAGTTGTTCACCTTCGCCGTAGAGCGCCGCCACTTTCCGTTCTAGCCGTTTTAGCCTAGAATGCGGTAAGTCATACTCTAATCTCGATTTAGGATTTTGGGTATCGCCGAATAATTTGATTTTAGGTGAAATTGGACTTGTGCGGGTGCGAAATGTTGGGGCTTTAGACCGGGAATGTATGGCGGGCCTTAAGGAATTAATTTGGAATTTTTGGAGGACGATTTGAGGGAATTTCAAGCTGCGAATCACTGTTCACAAGCTGCGAATTACTGTTCATGGGGCTATGATGATTGGTTCGGAACACAAGTTGGATTTTTAGAACCGGCAATTAATTACGAGAAAATGTCGTGAAGAGCCGGGAGTGTAATTTTGTGATTTAAGGTGCGGAATTCACTGTTTGCTGGCTGTGATGTGTAGTGTGATATGCTGTGAGTGGTTGTTTGGCGCATGGATGGTACCGTTAGGTCCGTCTTTGAATTTTATGAAAGTCCCGTGAAGGGCTGAAATTGATTTGAACGTGTTTGGGTGCAGAAAAATGAGAAATTGTGCATGAATGCGCGTTTGAGGTGTGAATGTGTGATTGTGGGTGCAAATGTGTGCACGGAAATTCATGTGAAGGTGTGAAAGTACGAGAATGGGATCGGGCCGAGTATCATAAACTCGGGCAGCGATCACGTAGGTCTGTTGCATTTGGCACAGGCTGAGGCTTGAAAAAGCATGTATGAGAATCGGTCCGAGGCACGATCAGCTCAGGTGAGACCGGGATTGGACCGAGGCATCATAAGCTCGGGTTCCAATCATGTAGGCCTGTCGCATTTGGCGTGGGCTGAGTTGGGTTCCAATCATGTAGGCCTGTAGCATTTGGCGTGGGCTGAGTTGGGTTCCAATCATGTAGGCCTGTCGCATTTGGCGTGGGCTGAGTTGGGTTCCAATCATGTAGGCCTGTCGCATTTGGCGTAGGCTGAGTTGGGTTTCGATCATGTAGGCCTGTCGCATTTGGCGCGGGCTGAGGAAAGTGTGAATGTGGGATCGGACCGAGGCGTGTGATGCTCGGGGCGCGATCGAGTGTGAATGTGGGATCGGACCGAGGCGTTTGATGCTCGGGGCGCGATCGAGTGTGAATGTAGGATCGGACCGAGGCGTGTGATGCTCAGGACGCGATCGAGAGGCCTGAGGCGTGTACGGGTACGCGGGCCGAAAGTGTGGTGATGAATGGTCGCAGTGTACCTGAGGCGTGTACTTCAACGCGGGTCACTGGCGAGGATTGTGAAAGTGGAAAATGAGAATGGAAGGAAGAGTGGGATGAGAATTGGCACATACGCGTGTTGCATACGACATGATCGTGACTGAGTGCGAATGTGTGCATTATTGAGCCTGACAGTCTTAATTGATGTGCCTATTTTGTGATATTGGAGTACGTGAATGTGTGTGATTGCGTGATTATTTGGAGGTACGTGATAGCCTAGGTTGGGTTTAGGGGTGTACTTACTGAGAAGTGTCTCACGGTTGTTTTCAACCAAACATTTTCAGAACCCAGACCTGAGTCATGAATCCTCCACCGCCACCACCCCCAGTACGTTTTGGAGTTCCAGTGCATACAGAGTATGAGACAGCTGAGTTTCAAATGGGAGACGGGATGACGTGGAGTTAGATTCTGAGTGGATGCCAAGCAAGGAGTGTTAAAGGTTGTTACGGGTTGGATGGCAGGTCATCGGTTTTTGTTCTTACGCTTGAAGAGTTAGTAATGTGTGCACTGGTAAACTAAGGTTTGTATTTTGTAAATATTGTGGTACAAGTTTGATCGAGTAATGGAAATGTTTATATTCTCCCAATGTTTCCCCAGTTAAATTTTTGTCCGGGTATTTTATGGTTTCCGTGTGCGCAGTTAAATCTCTGATGTTTAGAATTGAGGTCGGCGATAATTCCTGGGTTGTCGCGCAAATCGACCAGATGCGGATGTCGCGAGCTCGATAGGGTTCGGGGCGTGACATTTTTCCTTTTATTTTTTATTTTCGTTTCTTTTCCTTCCTTCTTTTCTTTTGTTTTTCCCCTCCGCAGCCGATGAGGGTCATCCAAGATACATTGCTTCTTTGTCATCAGTAAAGTTAAATAATACATCTTCTTCACTGGTCATAAAACACACCAAACACAATAGGAAACTTCTGATCTGATGAAGGGTCCGAATTCTGAAATCTTGACCATACCATACCTTCAACACGCTTGTATTCTTGGAGGGAACGAAAGAAAGAAAGTACATATTATTCACACTCACTCCCCTAATGGATGTGGTCAACGGGCAAAGCTGGAACAACATTACTCTCTCTCTCTCTCTCTCTCTCTCTCTCTCTCTCTCTCTCTCCTACTTTTTGAACATGTGTGGTTGATTTCAAGAACACACACAAATAGAATTAATCAAGAACATATTTCATGTTTACTACATTCAATCTTCCCAATGACTTCCGTAATTCAACTAAGTAATTTGGAGCTTCTTTTTTCTTTTGTTTTTTCTTAGTCACAATAGATGTAAGTAGCTAGCCTATCCAAACCTTAAGACAACGGTGGAAAACATTTGCCTCGCAATCTTGTATTTTGGAAGCGAGATTGGTTTGGTAATTCAACAAATCATGGCTCGCACAAGGTTGCATGGCAAGTAGTATGCTCACCTAAAAGGGAAGGAGGATTAGGATTGCCTAATTTGAACTTATGGAACAAAGTATTGCTAGGTCGCATGCTGTGGAATCTTATCAATCTTCCATCCTCTTCCCTTTGGAGTACTTGGGTTCACAACACCAAATGTAGAGGCACCCCAGTTATGCAGCTCGACATCAAGGGCAGTATGGCTTGGAGCTGGAGATGTCTCCTCAAACTGCGACCCGTTCTAACATCGATTATACCGAGCCCAAAAAACTATTGCCAAGATATATATGATGAACTCAGACATGTGAGACTAGCTGTAGAGTGGTATAACCTAATTTGGACCAGCGGCATTAGCAAACACAATTTTATTGGTTGGCTAGTTTGCAGAGATAGACTACCTACAGCAAGAATCGTCGCACAATGGATACCTTCAGTTGATATTCAGTGTAATTTCTGTAGGGCTAGTATTGAAGATAGAACACATTTATTCTTCGAGTGTGAATGGACAAACAACATATGGCGTTGTATCCTAGCACAACATGGGATCAGGCGCCTTTTAGGAGGATGGAATGAAGAACTTCAATGGATGATTAGGGCAACAAAAGGCAAAAACTTGGCAGCAAGACTCCTCAAGTTGTCCTTTCTAGCAACCATATATTGCATTTGGATGGAGCACAACAGCAGACGGTTTCAAAACAAGTCAACTGACTTTCATATTCTTTTGGCTAAGGTTCGTAAAAATGTCAGAGGTAGAGCGAGGAATTAGACCTTCCCAGACAAATGTTGTATTAGCTACTATATGGAGACTTCCTACCTTCATCTTTTTGAATTATTAGCACTTTTTGTAATGCTGGGGGATGCCTCTAAGCTGCTGTATTTCATCTGGTTTATAATACTTACATTCACACCAAAAAAAAAAGAAACTTTTGCACCAAAACCAGTCCCAAATCCGAATCCGGTCTGAAGGTGGAACCTCTAACCGGTCTCAAGAAACGATCAACTATATTAAGACATGCATAAGTCAAGAACCCTAATCCTAACCTATGTTTTGCCTTATTTTCATCAGTCATATACTTTAAAAAGGGATTTCCTACGCCTATCGAGCGACTGGTGGGAACTCTGTTAGGATGATTTGAAGGTGAAAGCACTCGCAAGACAGCCGGCATCCACGTCAACGCCGGCAGAGCAAAATTGGCCAGATAGACTGAATTTGCACAAATACAAAAGGTTTAAAAACCAATTGGAAAAAAGAAGAAGATTAGGACTGAATTGTCACAATTGCAATAAGTTTATAAGTTTTTGGTAATTTTCCATATATATAAGTCAATGGATTATGAACATGCAGGGAGTTTAGATTACATGCACTGCCAAATTTCTAAATGGAGCATGAAATTTCGCAAGATGTAAGTAGAGATCACCACTTTATAAATTTAACTGGAATAATCAACTGCAAAAGGATGAGTTAATAACTAAACACGAAACAAAAGATTTATCACCATAGAAATGATTCTCAATAGTTTGCCTTGTGCAAGAAAATTTATTTCATTTCTCCTCTATCACTGATATACATGATATAAGGAAACTTATTAAGTAGTTGCACAAACGATGTAAACGACATAGGGGTAACAAGCAAGCCCTGACAAATTGGAAAACCGACCTTACAAAGGAAAAACACGATGATCATATATTGCAACAAAATTTTGAGCCGATTATCAGCATCAATTTGCCCATAAATCTATGACAAAGTCCTCGTAGCTTTCGCCCAAATACATAGGCTCAGAGTACATGCACTCAGAAGCAGGAGATGCACTTCCTGAGTTCAAGCAAATACCATCAAAATCATCTAAGATGCGAAGATCTTCCAGTGCAATCAACTGTTTCCAAATGTTTTCTTCTTCGTCAATATTGTTGCCCGGTGAGATAAAGCCATTGTTTAGGGTTTCGTAAACCCGATCCACTTCACTGGGAGGCCCAAGGCTTTGTGCTTTTGTAGTATCAATAAGGGAAATTGATGAATTTTGGGGGGATAAAGGATCATTGTGATTGGAGTTGACTTTCACATCGCATGCAGTTGGCATTTGCAAATTTTCCATGGGGAAACGTTTCTTCAAGCGAGTATTCCAATAGTTCTTTATCTCGTTGTCCATCCTTCCAGGAAGTCTATTCGCTATGCTGGCCCAACTACAACAAGGAAATTATGAATTAGATATCTAATTATTTCCAAAAAGCAATGACAATCTGTTCATGCTTGTTAGTAGAAACATAGACTCCACAGTTACGGTAGGGTTTTAGATTCCTGATTGTTTTTATTACCCCACTTATGCCTCAAATTGCTGTCTTCCTCTGTATTACCATAAAACTTTTATTCCCCTATCATATAGCAAAAGTAATATAAAAAGTAATTCCCCTGCACCTATTTCTTATAATTTCTTTGCCTAGAGTCCATTAGGGTCATAATATCGACCAAGAATCATGCTGCACTAGTGCATTTACTTACCGGTTACCAAGAACTCGGTGCAAGCTAATAATGATTTCTTCCTCTTCTTTGGTGATGTTTCCATGTTTGATGTTGGGCCTCAGATAGTTCATCCATCGAAGTCGGCAACTCTTTCCTGTTCTTGCCAAACCTGAACATACACATATGCAACACTAGGGTTAGTGATCTATGTTTTGATCCTTATATACTGTACTCAATCCCTTTTTTGCCGGATGATTGGCGTTAAATCAAGAAGATTCAAATCCACAAGAAAAACCCCGTTTCTTGAAAAGATAAAAAATCATAACACAAAGGAGATAAAATAATAGCACACATACCGGCGGGTTTGGCCATGTGAGTCCAGTTCCAAATGCTATATATCTTGATATAAGCCACCAGTTTCTGGTCTTCTTCCGCACTCCACGCACCCTTCTTCACTGTCTTCTTGCTGTTGCTCTTGTCAACCCTTGGAAACCTGGCCATTGATACTAGAGATTATGGGTCAGAGAGCTAATGCTTTTTCAGCTGTCTTGGCTTTGAATGAAGTTCCACTACAGGATGTGAATCGTGCATTTATACTTGTCCTGGAAAATCAAATCAGACATTTCTAAGGGGTAAATGGTGTCTGCTCTTCCTGGAAGCAGCATAAAAGTCTAAAACGTTTGGTAGTGGTCATTGTGCATCTTTAGTAAAGTCTGGACTGACCCCACGCTATTAGGATATTCAAATATAGAAAGTCTCTCCCCATGGTAATAAGCATCCTCCAGTCCCAATAAATTTATTAGACAGCTCTTATTTATGATTATTGTCGTTGTCTAAAGTTATTTTCCATTTGAAATAAAAATCGTATATGTCCATTATATGGAAGCCAAATTATAAAAGCTGAAAAAAAGAAAATAATAAAAGTTTGAAAGTAAAAGTCACTCTAAAGACCTAAATTATCAGTTTTTTTATTGCCAACACCAAACTATTTTTTAGTGAATGGGTTATATTATAAGTGTCTTTCGTGATTCTCCTTTCTAGATAAGGGGGGAACCCCAAAAGGTAAAATGGAAATCGTAATTTAGTTGCAATTAACTCGTGTCTCGTATTGATTAATATGTTAAAGGCGGTATTAAGTGACAAGAGTATCAATAACGCTACAAGTTCATTACTGTCTTCTGGTTACCGGAGACTGCTGTTAAAAAGCGGTCAATCATTGAACCTACAAAACAACATTGAATGAACAAACAGATCCCACTTTGCTCTGCCCAGACTATAATTTCTCTCGGGCCCGTGTCCTCTTTGATTTCTGGTTCGAGGGGAATGTCCCCCTCCACACATTTAATCGATAGGGTTCTTTAATGCATAGATAAATTTTACAACCATAAATAATAAAAAAATCATAGCTAAAGAAGCTATTTCCCTCGAATATGTGCATCTTGAATTAAATCACTCAAGATATTATTTGCTTTGATCCATCATATACCAATTCTCATAGCTTTGTCTTTTGGCATCCAATTACACACTTTCCCATGAGATCACCGTCCTAGTAGCACTCTCACTTGAGTATGTTTAACATTGAAGTTCCAACTCTAAACATTATCAAAAGTGCATCTTCTGAGTTACATATGTCTATTCAGTATGGAATTCGGTTCATTCCTGCCTCCATTTGCCATTGTAGAAGCCTGTTAGGAACTGCTTGTTGTTCGAACACTCTCGCACTGTTGTTCGAACACTCTCGCACAGCCATCGCTACCAGCCCTCGTCGAACCAAGCTATTACGAATTGACACAATGGCAAGGTTGTTCCCGTGCTTTCGACTCAATAACTTGTGGTTGTGAGTTTGATTGCTGCCCTAGAGAACTCAAATTCAACTGGGGGATAGTGGCGGTGGATTGCTGTGCTAGTTCCCCTCCATATAGCTAACTAGTTATGGTCATGCACCTGGGTTGGGTTATGAAAAATAGAAAAAAAAAAGATAATTGATAGTGTTGTATTTCATTTTCCATGGTTGCGTTGTTTTGAAGAAGGAAAAAATAGTTCAATGCATGATATCCAAACTCATACAACAACACAATCAAAGAGGCAGTAATTAATTCTAGATTGACATGTACTTAATGTGAGGTAATTCAATTTAATTTCTATAAAATGCGAATCACTTTTGAACTTTACACCATTAAATAAGCAATAACGAGTTCTAGATTGACACGTAATTAATTTGAGGTAATCCGGTTTTAAGTTTTTTAAGTGTATTTTTGGTGGTATTGATGACATATGTGTGCAATGGCAGTTTGCATCAGATTAAAGTTCACACAACTTTTCAGTGGTTGCCAGCAGATCAATTATTGGATGAGAGTCAAAGGATTAAGATGTGATTAGTACTTTTTTGGCGATAGAGTTCCATGTCAAAGGCTTACCAATGTAAACGCCAAGAAAATATGAGACATTGAGGAGGGAGAAGTCTTTTTTTTTTTTGGTGTGAAATGTAAGTATTATTCATAAGTTGACGTACAAAAGCTTAGGAGCATTCCCCAACATTACAAATAGGACTATGATCACGAAAAAAATGGAGGGTGGGAGTCTCCATATATTAGCCAATATTACATTTTTCCTAGAAGGTCAGAAAGTTTTGTAGTGTGAAGCTCGCCCTCTGACAAGTTTACGAACTTTAGCCAAGATGATAGGGGCATCATGTGACTTGTGTTGGAAACGTCTATGATTACGCTCCATCCATATGCAATAAAAAAGTTGCTAGGAAAGATACCTTGAGAAGTCTAGCCGCCAAATCCATGCCTTTGGCAGCACTTATCATCCATTCAAGTTCTTCATTCCATCCTCCTACAGACCGCAGGATTTCGTATTGTGCAAGGATAATACACCAAATGCTTTTAGTCTAGGTGCACTGGAATGCATGAAGTCTTTTATTTGTGCATAGAATGCATGAAGAAGGCATTCGGAGGGATAAATAATACTCATGTGAAATTAGGAGAAGAAAATGAAATTCTAGAAGCAGATGAAGATAACCACAGTTTTCTCAATGTTCTTGAAACTTGGTGAGAAAGCACTACAAAAAAACATGGATTTTGCCACGGAAATTTGCGACGGGAATTTTTCGTCGCTAATTTGCGACGAAATTTGCGACGGAATTTTTTTTCCGTCGCAAATTAGCGACGAAAATTATTTGTCGCTAATTTGCGACGGAATTTGCCACGAAATAAAAATTCGTCGCAAATTTGCGACGGAAAAAAAATCCATCGCAAATTTGCTACTGAAAAAAAATCCGTCGCAAATTTGCGACGAATCTATTTTCCGTCGCAAATTTGCGACGGATCTATTTCCGTCGCAAAATCCGTCGCAAATTTGCGACGGATCTATTTTCCGTCCCAAATTTGCGACGGATTTCGCGACGGATTCCAAAAATGGTATTGCATTTTCCAAAAATTTGCGACGGAAAAAAATCCGTCGCAAATTTCGAGTTCCCGCCCTAATTCCCAATTAGCCCGCCCTCCCCCCCCTCCATTTTCTCTCTCTCTCTCTGCTTCCGCTTCTCATTCTCTTTCTCCTTCTCCTTCTTCCCTCTCCCCCACACCCCCAAACCTCTCGCGCTCGCGCTTCCTCCCGCGACTCCTCCTCGTCTTTGTCCGTGATCTTTTTTTCTCATAACTGCGGTGGGAGCTTTGTTTTGTGTGCGGTTTTTTCGTGCCTCACACGGGGAGATTGTAGTGAAATTGGAGCGGGTTCTCTTCGAGGGTTGGTGGTGTTTTGGGTGGGCGAAACCGGAGAAAGATGAGCCTGTGTCTGGTTGACGTGATGCCGAAAGGTGCTGACTTGGGTGGTTGCAGACTGTATTTTCATCAAAGCTGTTTAGATATACAAGTGTGTTTGCAGACTGTATTTGCTCGAATTTCTTTTTCCTTGTGCTAGTTGCATTCTTGTGCCTGACCTCAGTGATCTTTTGGGTACTTCCCTCTCTGTATGTAACGCATGCTTCCATTTCATGAAAAGAACTTTTCCACCTTCGTGCTTATTAGTTTAATCACACATAGGTTTGGTTGATGACTGATCACCTAATCGCACTGTCGGATATATATGGAGTTTGTTATAATGAACTGAGCTTTATGCCTTAGATTTGCGGCGCTTAGTTTGGTTGATGTTGGTTGCTTTTCTTATTGATTGAGCGTTCTTGTATCTGTAGATCAACGTTGCTAATTTCTTCTTTCTGGCGACCTCTCTTGCAGCATCCAGAGATGGACTTCTCAAGAGCAAAGATTGCATGAGGGGGGGATGTTCGACTGCTTATTCTCTAGCTTGATCATACTATGATAAATCCGGAAATCATTGGATGTTTACTTTGGGCGCGGATGACCGAGCTTTTGTTCAATTGTTTTGCCCTATCGAGGGCAAGGAGGAGCTCCCCGAGAAATTAGATGTTCGACTGCTTCTTCTCTAGCTTGATCATACATTTTGGAAAATGTAGATGAATGTACTTTATTTTCATATTATTCTAATATTTTGATGTTATTAAGTGCTTAATCAATGTTAAATATAAATTTCAAAAATTAATTTTGCTTTTAATTAGATTTAAAATTGAAAAATAAAATAAATGATTTTATCGTACGATCACAAATTACAAAAGTTCATTGTAAAAATAAAATTCCGTCGCTAATTTCGTCCCTAAACGATATTCGTCGCAAAAGAATTAATAAAAAATTGTCGCTAAATTCGTTGATGAATAATGTTAATGGCAAAAGTAAAAATTTTTGGTAGCAAGTTAGCGACGAATTTTGCAACCAATAAGTTCGTCACAAATTACTGACAAAAAAAAAATTTCCTGACAAAATTAGCTACAAATTTTGCCACGAATATAGTTCATGGCAAATTAGAAATTAGTGACGAATTTTACGACGAATTTTTTGCAACGAATTTTGCGACAAATTTTGCGACAAATTTTCCGACGAATTTTTTTTCGTCTCAAATTAGCGACGAAAATTGATATTTTCCGTCGCTAAATTTTGCGACGCCGCATTAGCGACGGATTTTTTTCCGTCGCAAAATTCATCGCAAATTCGTTTAACGACGAATTTTGCCAAATTTTTCGTCGCTAAAATCTTGTTTTTTTGTAGTGTTATTTAGTGACGAATTTTGCGACGAAATTTGCGACGAATAAAGTTCGTGGCTATTTTGCGACGAATTATTTGCGACGGATAGTGTTCATGGCAAATTTGCGACAAATTATTTGCGACGGATAGTATTCGTGGCTAATTTGCGATGAATTATTTGCGACGAACTTCTTTCCGTCGCAATTTTGCGACGAACATTGAAATTTTCGGTCGCAAAATTTTGCGACAACCTAAATTCGTTGCAAATTCGATTTGCGACGGATTTTTCCAAATTTTTCGTCGCAAAATTTCTTCACTAATCCGGTGTTTTTTTGTAGTGAAGGCAACCCACCAATTCCTCACCAAGTTTGAAATATGATGAAGGGTTTTTTTTTTCTATAT